TTATTTTATTTTATTTTATTTTATTTTATTTTATTTTATTTTATTTTATTTTTTCTTTTAATATAACTTTATTTTGCTTCATTTTTTTTCTTATTTCATTTCATTATTAAAAACACTGGTTTTCTTTTGGTTTCCCTAGGTATTTTTGCTTGTTCAAAAATCCCATTATTTAAGTAATCTTTTCCATTTTCCAAACCCATCGATTTAGATTGGCGGCCCTCTTAAACGCATTCATTTACCCTGTAATTTTCTTCAGGTTCACTTGTTTTGTAATCATAATCAAAATGCTTGTTAAAGAAAATTCACTTGTCTCTTGCCCGCTCTTGCCCCTGCGCTATGAATTTGTGCTAAATAGTCTCCACTGAGCAAATTGCATACAAAATTCAGTTTGGCTGGCGATACTAAAAATAGTTTAGCTTTCGAATTTTCACAAAAGACCACCATCGAATGTCTATCACAGTTTATTTCGTCAAGATCAATTTAAAATATGTTTTTTCTAGTTGCATGCAATTAACACATTTTACGCAACAACAAATATTTAGCTACAGCTACAACTTGTAACATCATTTAACTATGCGACCGTTGATCTTCCACGTAAAAAATCAAAGGCGAAAATCATTGATCTTGTGTTTGATCGATTTCTACAGGTACCAAGCGAACGGAAATAAAAAATACTATATACTTGATACATATTTAATGTGTACTCCAATTTACCCGTTAGAACTGCTCCGACCGTTTCGATGGACGGGAGATGACTATTGGTCACCCGCTGATCTCGGAGCAGCGCTGTCGCGACCTCGGACACATAAGCATGCTCATCGTTAGAGAATTATGTTTTTCGTTTGTTTGGGGTTCTCTTATTGTTGTTACTCTTTGACTGTTTACATATGGAAAGGCTAGGCATAGATGGCGTGAAAAACTAAATAATTGGGTAAAATTGTCATTTGGTGGCCACAAATGCGTGTTTCTTTTGATAATGTGACGTTTTTTTTGGAATACAAGAAATGATTAGTTAATTACAAATCATTCAGAATTTCCATAAGCCGGTTTATTTACGTATAAATAAATAAAATAAATAAATATATACTATGTATACATACATACCTGTCTTTTCTGATAGATAATAACCTCCACTTTTTTGTGAAGTCGGTTAAAAATTAATCATTTTCGATCGAATATAAGTACATATGTACATATATGGACATAATGAAAAGCACACATTTCTTAAAACTTTGAAGATTTTTTAAGTATGTATTTAGTTGGTTTATTTAAACTTTTAGTTGATTTACGTATAAAAAATATTTAGACCAACTATTCGCAAAAACGTGGAATATTCGGCAGTCGAGAGGATATTTCGTAAAATTTCGAGACTTATGGGATTTTTGAAACTATTTCCAGTTTAATACGGTGTTTACTTGAGGCGATTTTATAGGATACTTTTAGTTGAAAGCAACAATCGCCTGGTGTGAACGATCTTTCAACTAATCGCTCCCAATGAAGTAGGGTGGCAGCCAACCTTCAGATTCAACTAATCGCCTTCAAAAATTGCCGGTAAAATCGTCTCATGTGAACACTGTTTAAGCCAATACTCCTTATGCCTCAATAAGGGTTAAAGTGGTCGCATATGCTGGCGATGTTGTGCTGGTGGTAACAGAACCTTTTACTTATACTGTGAGGAAAATCCTAGAGGAAGCACTGGGTTAACTACACGCTGGCTAAATGTGTTAACCCGAGTAAAATCGAGCTATTATTGTTTATAAATATGTATGATGTATCCAATGCAAGATATTTCGAAGTCATCGTAGACCCTATAATCAAACTGGAAACTTAACGCTGAAAAACGTAAAAAGAAGGCCTTCAACGTTTTCTATACTAAATGATCATCAGTACACCACTATCATAAGGCCAACAAAAGGAAGCAACAGAGGTTACCCACGGCACCCTAGTATGGTGACCAGCTTTAAGTCGACAGTAAAATGCGAATAGATTAAACTGAAGGACTGAATGTCCTTTTCAATACGATTCCCATTGATCTTTACCTAAAGGAAATCAGTAATCAGCACCAAGACTCAGGGATTCGCGGTTCTGGGAAACGAAGACCTTTGGTCATAGCAAAATAGAATCACGTACTACATGGTATCAAGCCTGGTTTTGGCTTGAATGTACTTGTGCGGTTTCCCTTCAGAAAGAAATTGAGAAGGGGTCAAGCGGCTGATAAGGAAGCCATCCGTATCTACACTGACATATCCAAGATAGACTGCGCTATAGGGACTGGAGTCTATTGAGAGGAGCTTGCTGTCAATCGGTCGCTGTGGTTGGCAAACCATGCCAGCATATTACATACTGAAGTCCTGGGAATATGTGAGGCCTATAGGAATGTAAATACTAGTGCTACCAGGAAAGAAACAGCGGTGATTTTCTCAGATAGCTATGCAGCACTCCAAGCTATATCATTTACTGAATCCAAGTATAAGGAAGTCATATAATGCACGGTTAAACTACGATCGGTGACTCAATCAATGTCCATCTCTCTTGACTGGGTTCCCGGATATAGAAACATAGAATGCAACGAGAGAGCAGACGATATGGACATGGTGGGAGCTTGCTTGGTTGAATTGAGCGGTGGTACTGGGATACCCACTCAGAAAAATATAATTAGAAATCCACTTGCAATTTCTGAAACTAGCAAGGAGGAGGTGACCAGAGATCCAGATTTGCAAGATAGCATAGGTGGAATTATTTTGGATTGTAGCGGCTATCACGGGTCACTCGCTACTTGGAAAACATGCGTATAGAATAGAACTGCCATACAATGACTGACTTCTATAAGACATACAACTTCCCGGAAATAATACTGATGCACTTAGCGGAATTTATCTGATGCTACAATGAGCGATATGCATAAATTAAACGGCGGCTCAAAGGAATTTATTTAATTGGAAAAAGGTTTGAGGATAGGCTAGAATGAAATTGTCCACGATAAGTGCAGCAAAATGGTGGTATTATGCGCTAACTGAATCCTGAGTGGCATTTTGTGAGATAGTGCATAGTACAACGAACCAATCAACCTTAGGCTTCAGACCTAGTGCATAATAAGAAGGTATATTGTATTAATTTTATTCACTTGATACCCTCTTAATTATTCCAGAAGATAATTTAGGTAGGCCTTCTTAAGTGAAGCCATTCTAAGAGGTCTACCCAAGAAGGGCTGAAAAAGTGCTTCCCTGCATGCCTTCTAGAAGGGCTTATTCATTTACAATTTACGCGAATTCATAAAAGGGTATTTTTTAGCATTACAAATGAATTTCAATAAACATTTTAAGTTGCAGTAACACATATTTGTTATAAGCCTTAAGAAAATATTTTAAAGATGTATGATTTTTATAAATTAAAGAAGCAACTTTAAAAGAACTCCTCCAGACGCCCTTCGGGAAGGCGTTCTATGGGTAGCAAAAGAAGAAGCCCTTCAATTTGTGCCAATCCATACAAAAAAGAAAGGAGAAAAGAATGTAGAGTGGAAGGCCTCTTGACATTCAGGAAGGCCTTTCGGAAGGGCATTAAACTCCTGAAATTATCTACTGGGTTGCTTTTGTTTGGCGCAGAACCGATACACGGTAAGCTTCGTTAACAGGCACACTACGGAAGGAAGAGTCTTTGCTCCGTTTATCCGCAATATTGTATCCCAAATAGGAGTGCTTCTTCCAATTTTTTTGAAAGTACACCGAGCTAAAAATGCCGACACTTAAACCCCCTATGTTAGACCTAGGAATGTTAATGTGTTAATGTGTCCCGGGATCCCGGCCTTTTTAAGGTCCCAAAAATCCCGGGATTCTTGGCACATAATCCCTAGATTTTCGGGATTTGTAATTTGCACTGATGGCAATAATAGAAACTCTTCTTCTTGACCAGCATTGGCTATATTTCTTTTTTTATTTAATAATAAATATTTTTCTATGAATGTCAAGCTCATTATACATACATACATATAACACCGCGGGTTAGTAAATTTTAAACACAAATATCAAAATATTCGCGAAACCATGGGCTAAATATAGTAAATTCGCGTTTTTAGTTTTTCACTCTGACGTCAGTAATTCAAAATTGATTTAAAAAATTCAGAGAAATGTGCTTACAGAAAAAGTATGGGTATCAAATTAAAGAGAAAGTTCTTTAGAATTTAAACAGATACAAGTTTTTGGTGCGGAAGTACTGATAAGTATTGAAAATGTCCTTTTAAAATTTTATTTTTACATTTCACAATATTTGTTTTTGAAAAAATTATATGTTAAGAACTTAAATAAACTCGATAACATCCTCGAATTCCGTCCTTCTGACTTTATCAGCTTACATATGTACCTATTCGTTCTTGTGAATCCAAAAAATTTTAATTATTTTCAATTCCATAAAATGGAATTAATCATATATTTGAAATCTTTATAATAAATCCTGACGTCAGAGAGAAAACCTAAAACCGCCCCTATAAAAAAGTAGGTTTCACACCCATTTATTTATTATTTATTTTATGGTGGGAGAGCTTCTCAAACAATATTGTTTCGATTTAAGTTGTTGAAAATAATGAATATCCAAATCCCGGGACTAGTCCCGGGATCTCGGGATTATGATAAGGACAGCATGCTTAAAAAAATATCGCGGTTACTGGCTAATTTCAATTACTCGGTGACCAATATTAGAGTTGCTGGCAAAACATTAGTCATGGCATTTAGCACATGAAAATAATATTCGATTTCAATTGAAAAGATATTAAACATCTTGAAATTATTACACCACATAAAGTTCTTTCTGATACTTATGTATCAATTTTGCACCTACTCGACCAATTTCCTGCATTCGTAAATGATGCAGACATAATTGAGTTTCAATTTGTAAATTGAAGCTGAGTGAAGGTAACTTCAAAAACTGTACCAATATAGAACGTTTTTGGGATCAAGTAAGTTTGATTAAAAATGGATTGGGTGAAGCGGCATTTGGAGAATTGTGTGATTTAGTTCATAACATTTTTAGTCTGCCTCATAGTTCCGCAGCAGCTGAGCGCAAATTTTTTGATTTAGCATTAATAAAAACGAAATTAAGAAACAAATTATAATTTAAAACTTTGAACAATGTAGTGGTAATAATATACAATTGTAATGCACTTTGGATCGTTATAAAAACTGATTTGGCATATTTTCTTGATAAAAAGGGATAAACTCGACACAATCTCCCGATGTAATAAATATTAGTCCATTTTTTACTATTTGGCCCATTTTTTGGTCCGAAAAATTAATTGGAAATGGCAACCGTGGAGATATCGAACTAACATGAGAAGGCAACATCGCGTGGACGACGGGCACCGAAGAAAATGAAATATCCAACAATATAAGCTTTTTAATGGACAATAATTTTTCGGAGAAAAGGTTCTTAGACGCGGCATCGAAGAAAATGAAACCATGAGCGCACACGAACACAGAGAAATCACCCAGTGCGGAAGGACCCGCTTGTATTTCAGATGAACAACCGGCGTAAATTCAGTTCTCGGCCCAAACCGATAAGCGGGTTTTCAACAAAATAAGCTAACCCCTTCGGTGAAAATCTGATTTTCAAAAATAATGTTTGGTACTCATAGTTGAAAGGAAGTAGGAACAATTGCAATAATAGCACAGTAGATTTTAACAAGAAAACCACATTGTCGGTCTTTACTTGTTAAAAGGCGTAGGGGTATCATGGGATCTTTGATTTAGGAGTG